TGGTTTAGATGTAGAATCCTATAAGGTAATCGCAAAAAGGAGCTACCAGGGAGCCCATGCATAGATCCTCACACCTTGAAGCCTTCTTGCAGACCCGGGGGCGAAGGTGGCGGAGGCGGGGGTGTTTGCTGAAGAGTTTCGCCTTGCCTCGGTGTTTGGGGACTTTGGGTTTAGGGTTTTTAGGGGTTTAGGGTTTAGCCGTTTTGGGGGGTTTCGGGGTTAGGATTTTGGGTTTCAATTTTTTGGGTTTAGAGTCAGGCTTTTGGGCTGTTTGGGGTTTAGGGCCGTCAAAGTTTCCAGGGTATGACAGGGTCACTGCAGAACAATCCTATTCGAATTTTCGTTTGATCTTTGAAAGTTTTGTTGTGGGAATGCGCAAGTCTCAAGCCCTGCCCGGAGGTTGTGCTCGTAACAACGGACTCAAAACACAAACTCGCCACGCCAAGTCAACCTTTGACCGATCTCCTTCCGGTTCAGGGTTCAGGTATCAGGAGCCCTGATGTAAGTACCTTCCTTTCCGTTTCACCGGGGCTCCAACTACCTCGAAGATAGCTTCCTACCCGCACGGGGGGGTGTTTCGTAGCCCCGGGAGTCGAGCATGAAGGGATCTCTGGTCCAGTGCATCCATTCAAAACTGCGAGTAGGTCGAGTCTTGCTCCGAACTTAAAGGCAAGTACCCAAAGGGATAAGCAACAAGCCAAAGAGCTGAGACACACACACAAAAAAAAAACACGGCGGCCTCAAACCCCAACCCCGAAAGCCGGCCTAGTGCCCTAAAAGCCCAAAATGTCCCCCAAATCGAACCCGAGTGCCCGAAAGCCCCCCAAAATCTAACCTAAACCCCTAAACCCATAAACCCTCAACCCTAAACCCCAAGCCCTGAACCCCTTTTTTACACCAAACCCTGAACCCTAAACCCTAACCCCTCAATCGCAGGATCCCGAAAGCCCGAACGCCCCAGCTCAGGCTCTGGCCATCCACTTGCTTCCTGGGCCTGGGGGCTCCACAAAAATAAATTAGGTTATGTTTTTATCCTTGGGTTGACTCTTTTATATAATTAGGGTTTAGGGCTTAGGGTTGAGGAATTAGGGTGTTTTTTTAAGTTTTTTAGGTTTTTTAGTTTTGAGGGCCTTTTTTGCAGTGACATGTCCACAGAGAGCTCCAGAATTAGGGTTAAGGGTTTATAGGTTTGGCAGGGTTTGAAAGGATTCCTTGGTTGAGTGCTTTTGGGATTTCGCTCCAGCTCGGCGATCAAAGGAGCTCACTGGCTTTGGTTGAACAAGTAGGAGTCAGGATTAGGGGGACCCTTGGGGATATAGACCCTCTCAATAAGGTCCCTGTTAAGAGAGCCAGAAGTAGGGCTAAGAAGGGTCCCCTTTAAGGGGTCTCCCTAATACTACTAATCAGGAGTTGGTGCTTCTTGCCGAGGGACTTGATGTGCGCTACCATACCACAGATGCATAGCACCTAAGGCGCTTCCCCATATCGCAACTTCAATGAAAGATCCATTGCTTCTCACTAACCACAATCACAAAACAAACCAGCACGGTGGAACTGACCATCCAAAAGCGCTTGCCGCTTGCCTTTTTCTGGATCTATAGGTCACCTCTCAGCTCTGTTGGCTGAGGTCAGCATGTTCTGTAGCGAAACCCTGCAAACTCCACAAGATGGAGTCAGATCAAAATTCCTTGGCGACAGTCTCCACCCGCTTAAGCCCGCCTGTTTAGGCGGCGACCAAAACTGCTTCTGAACATGTCCGTAGCCCGGCGGAGCTTAGCGGTACATATGCGAGGCCGGAACGCAAGCCTTGCCATCTGAGCAGTAGCCGGGGTGGCAGTAGCAGAAGTAGTCCTGGGTGTTGCAGGTCGTTGGCCCACGCGACTTGGCGCAGCTGAAGACCATGCAGGAAGAGCCTTGGATCTTGTTCTGGCAGCTTCCAAAGCCGGGGGCTCCATAGGCGCTGCCACCGTAAGGGTTGAACCCAGGAGGCATCTGGCCGTAAGGGCTGCCGTACTGATGATTCCAGTAAGGGTTGTAGGCTGCAGTCGGAGGAGGTGGCGATGGGCCCCACTTCTGGGTGTCCGAAACCGTCTGTTGCGCTTCAGCCTCCGCCTTTTTCCCTTCGCCCTCCTCCAAAGCGGCAGCGGATTTCTCCCCAGAGTCTTCTGCATGCTCGGCAACCACTGCCTTCTTCTGCACAGCGTTCAGGGCGCATTCCCCGCCCGCGGCACACTCAGCATCGCCTGCCAAGATGTTGTCCATGTCCACGACGTCTGTCGACATGGCACAGGCAAATGCTGTCACCGACAAAGCGAAAGCCAACGACTTCACCATGGCGGTCAAAATACAACCTGAACGCTGTTGAGGACAGGGGCAGAGTAGCGCCAAGAGCAAAAGGCTTGAGCCAACATCATATCAGGATACTGCATTGAGGGATATTGGACCAGTGGAGTCTGTGGGCAGTAGCCCGTGCTGCGGTAGCTGTTGGTGCTGCTGGCATCATTGAGACTTTGAAGCCGCCTTACTCCAAACTTCTGAGTTCCGTCTTGATTCATTGAAGACCCTACACCCCGAACTAAAACCTACGTTGACCTAAAGGGGCAGGTATGGCAGGCTACCGTGTCGGGAGCCTGGGGAAAGTCTAAGGTTCACCCATAGGCCCCTAAGTAGTTCCCTTTTGGGATTACCGTATAATAGGATTCTAAATATGAACCATGGCGGCCTATGGGCAGCCCTCAGCCCCGGCGGCAAAGCGGACACCTGGCCTGCTGCACGGGTTCGTTGAACCTTTCGAAGCTCCTGAAGTGCCCCTGCTGCGCCTGCGCCGGCCGTGGCGCATCTTATCGAGTTGCAAACCATGGCTGACCTATCGCTCCAGCGGTAAATTCACAATGGCTAATGATCTGCGCGGGGTTGGCAAGACGACACTTTGAACGTATCACGCGCGCCTGCTGTATAGCTTTCTGCTTTGCAGCCTCCTCTGTTTGTCTTGCCTCTTCTTGCCTTCTTCTGTCTTCCATTAGGGCCTGGCGAAATGAGGCGACAGCGGCTCCACTCACACCATGAACAAATTCATCGATCTTTCTACGGATTGCTGCAGCGGCATAAATTCATCCGAGCGACCGCTGCCTCTGCCTCTGCTTCCTCCTCCCTTTTGCGAGCCTCCTCCTTGCGTCGTTGATCCTCATCCTGCTTCCTACGGGTGTCTTCTTCCTGCTTCTTGAGCTCCCGCCAGATGGCCTCCTCCTGCTCCAGCCGTCGCCGCTCCTGCCACGGCGGGCTGAAAGGATTTGGTGGCAGATGTTCCCGCAGGAGGGGGAGGGAGGGAGGGAGAGGGAGAGAGAGAGAGAGAGAGAGAGAGAGAGAGAGAGAGCGCGAGAGCGAGAGGGAGAGGGAGAGGGAGAGGGAGAGCGAGAAAGAGGGCGAGCCTCTAAAAGCTTAATGCATGTTGAGCAGTCCGAAGCCAGGGAGAGCGGCATCGGAGTTGTGCTCCCGCAACTCGAAACTATTCAAGACACAGAGCAACCTCCGAGTGTCTTCACGGGCGCCCAGGTGCTGAGGATGAGACTTACCGCAGGTTCTTGAAGCAGGCAAAGAAAGACAATGTGTAACAAGGAGTATGTAGAGTTCAGCTCAGACTGCATTTGGTGTTTCGGATTGATCGGAGTTACTTGGCGAAGGATGCTTTCAGAAACAGGCTTTTGCGCACACTGCACACCCGTGAGATCGCAACCTACAGCGATAAGTGCAGGGTGAACTTGATAATTCAATTCTTTGGCTCAGCACCCTTCAACGTGAAACAAGCCTAGCACATGTCTCGAAGCCCTTTGCAAGCCTTTCTTGAGCAGGGACTGCAATGCACTAGGCCCTGAATCCCTTCAGCCAAGCTACTGCACTGTTTGCAAGCCTAAACCCTAAACTGCCTAAACCCTAATTTGCTAAACCTGAAACCCCCAAACCTCAAAAAGTCACCGGCGCCTCCTCTGCCTTCTGTTGCCGCTCCTGTTCTTCCTGTTGCCCTGGCGTAACATGCGAAAAGTGAACGGTTTAGGGTTTAGGGCTTTGAAGTTTAGGGTTTTGGGGTCTAGGGTTGAGCGAAGGCAGCTTGTTGGACAACTCCGTCCCGAATCTTACGCGTTGTTTGACGGTCTGTCGTCATCTCTCTGTGTCTGCGACTGGGGTTTATAGGGTTTTAGGGTGTAGGGTTTTGACAGTCGCACTCGGACAAGCCCGGCCGGGTCTGTATAGCGATACGGGTCCAACTCACAACAATCAGATACTCCGGTACGTGTCACCGAGTACCCCGTTGTCAGGGGTTTAGGGTTATAGGGTTTAGGGAACCCCGGCCCGACCGAGTCTCATGGGCGGGGATTTTAAAGTAAGGCAAGGCTTCTGCGAACTGCAGTTGGGACCCTGACTAGGCATCAGCGGGCCTAGCTTCTTGCTTGGCGAACTAACTTATGCATGACTGTGAAAGACTGTCAAGAGACTTCGATGAAAAAGTAAACAACCCCTTCATGGCTGGACTGGGGTTCTACGTGCCTTTTACTACACTTGCTTTAGGAGCCATGGAGGCATACTACTAGCAGTTACTGGCAATGTCCCCTGATCCCCCTGTTCGGGATGCGGGATCTATGACAATGGCATACAGAAGTCGCAGTGACACTCGTCATGAATAAGCTCTCTATATAGGATTGCGGCCTGGGAATCACATGTTCAAACCACCCCCAGCGCTAAGTGGGGGATCGATTTATCAGAACCCCACCTAAAACAAAAAAACATAACATCGATTCTCAAGGCATGTGTTTTCAATCTTTGTAAAATGGGGGAGTCGAGAAAGCTCCATACACAAAAAGTACGATAAACCCATTATCTATATCAAACCCTAGCTACGATCCCCAGGAACCGAGGAGGAAATGGGCTGACCTTTTGGTAGTGGATAATTTGATAAGAAACCGAAGACCACAAAAGGAACCTTCATAATAACCCTTTTGTTGCCCTAGAAAGGAAGTGAAAACCCAAACCCTAACCCCGCAAACCACGAACACCGTTTTGCATCAGGACTTGTGCAATCGCCTGAATGTCTGAGCACACGGACCATACAACCCCTGAATCCCGAAGCCCTAAACCCTTTTGCAACTGGCCCGGGCGAACCCTAAAACCTAAACCCTGAAGGCCCTGAACCCCTAAACCCTGAAGGCCCTGAACCCTGAAGGCCCTGAAACCCTGAAGGCCCTGAACCCTCACTGATGTTGGCCCAAGGGGCTCTTAGCTGCGGCTTCCTCCTCAGCCTGGGCGAGCTCGCCCGAAAACCTGCAAAGTCTGGACGCTCTCAGATCACCATTGCCAAGACATGGGACCCCCACTCATGGGTTTAAGGTTGTAGGGCTGAAGGATTGGTTATATGGCTTAGAGGTTTTATGTTATATTCAGGCTTTAGGTTTCGGGTGGATTTTGAAAGGGCTCTCTTACAAGGGTTTCTGGTTTTTCTGGTGGGTTTCTTTTGGGTTTCAAACGGGTTTACGAGGGTGTTCAACTTTTTCTTACAAGGGGATTAAACGATTCGGTATAGTTAACACGATTTGAAAAGGGCTCTGAGGCATTTTATTGGGCCGTCCGGTGTACTATCGTGGAGTGCAGTTTGTGTTCTTGGTATTGATGCTTCTTCAGTGTTTTTATTTGAGTTAGGGTTTCGGGTGTAGGATTCAGTGGTTAGGATTTAGCATTTCGGGTGTTTCCGGGTTCAGGCAGCGAACAACTACGAAGAGGTTCGTCAATCTTGGTACTGCTCGCACAACGGCCACAGCTCCTCCCGCTGTTCATGACTTTCTCAGTGGTTGCAGGCTGTGTTCCACGCACTTGTTTGGAGTCATGGTGGCGGGTGTGAGATAGGTCTCCTGTCCAACATTATGCGGCCTATAGCCGCTTATAGCCTTAATTGGCCTTAATGATTAAAAATGGGGTTTGCGGCATACTATAGATACGGTGCCTCCAAAATAGTATTGGTAAGTATTTAGGCCCCTATAGTATGCTGGACTTCTACGTGGTGTAGGAATCTCGGGTCTAGGATGGCCACTTGCATTGACTAAGATGCACTGGAAGTGCAAGTTGCAATGCAGGCTTCTCCGCGGGCGTGTAGCTGTGTCCCAGCTACGGGTTAGCACAATGGAAGTGATGTAGAGTCAGGATGTAGAGTCATTCTATATGCGATGATTCTATGACGTGGAAGTTGCGGAACTGAGGGGATCCAATGAGGTGATTTCGAAGCCCGACTTTGGATCGCTCCAACGCTCTTGCACAACACACGCTTGAGTAGATCCCCAAACAATCATAGATCAGGAAGACCACCAGCGACCACGACCATCAGGAGACCGCACCGGCAAACCCCAGGAGACCAAGAGGGCCAGAATGTTTTCCCCAAATGTACTGGCGGAGTTAAGAGACACGGCCAAGGTTCTTTTCCGCCAGGTGCTGCCAAGTGTGTATAGGAATTTGCAATGGATCGGGTTTTTCCGGAGGATGCGGCCGTACGGATGGTGTGTAAGCAGTGGGACCTGAGCGGGAGCACGGAATGTATCGCGCGCGCCTTAAACCTACACTGACCAATTCTCTTTACCCCTAACATACAAACCTGATAGTGAGGAAGGCCGCAGATCCATTTCTTCAAAGTGACCAACACCCTGAGCATCGGGCTCGAACTTAACAATTCTAACCGGGTGTTGAATTTGAAGGTCTGTTCTAGCATGGGTCTGCATTGGGATTATTCGAAGGGCCATCATTACACAATATTACGGGTAATGCAGACCTCTATGTTACATACTTGGTGGGCTCTCCCCAATCCCGTACCCCAAAGAGCGACCCTAAACCCTAAACCCTAATACCCAATGCCTCATGAAGCTCTCGTCCAGTCTCTGCTTCTCAGCCAGGGCTGCCTGTCATGAATGGGGTACACGGGTACACGAGATTCTCGTACGAGATGCTCCTGCTCCTGGATAACTCGGTTTCGCCTAAAGCATCCTAAAAACAACCTGCTGCAACCCAGGCACTGGATCCTAAACTACCAAAGCAGCGAATGTTGTCACGAAGCACGAACTCTTGAATCTGGAAGCCCTTTGTGCTGACACGGCCCTCTATCGTGTGGTGCTCCTCTGTTGTCTCTTGAATTAGAGGGGCCTTAATCTTGTGATTTGAGGTATATTCCTTAATTANNAGGGGTATTGGGCTCTCTGGGAAGTGTGGGGCATCAAGAGTTTAGGGGGGAACATGTTCACGATTCTAGCGTTTAGGACATTTCAAGATGTGCGTTCGATCACAGCAATAACGAAAACTGTAGGGGGGCCCTTCAGCTCAGCCTCTCTGCAGATCTTCACTTACGACCGTGTTGTGAACCCCAAGGCTATCGTAATGAGAAGGCGCTATAATCTCACAGTGACACGGACAGCT